GCAAAGAGAGTGCATAGAGTAACGGTGAGTCAACCGGGGTGCATATTTAGGCCTATAGTTCGCTTGGTATAGAGGGTATCAAGGCTCATATGCGATGGGGAACGACCCACGGATGGCCGAACTCGTCATGCTAAGGTTATTCAAGTAGTAGCCAATAGGGAGAAGCTAGGCCGATATGGTAGATATACTAATAATAATGCTTGGGGGATGCGATATGTTATTTTCATTATCAATATACTAACTTAAAAGATTTGATTAAATATACTAATTTGTATTATAAATAATATTTAACTATTCTTATAACCAATAATTATACAATCAATAATACTTTTACAAATATATTTTTATATTCATATGTAATATATTGTAAAATTATAATAACAATATTTAAATAATCATAATGACATAAGTATATTGATTATTGGTATATTGATAATAATATTACGTTAAATGCCTATGAATATATAAATATTTTAATAATTAATCATTATAATAAAATATGATAATTTTTAAATATATAGAAAATAATCTAGATTATTTTATCATATATATTAAATAAAATATATTATTTGGTCTTTTAACTATAATTTTTAACTATATTGTTATTATCATTTGAATAATATATTAACTATTTGTTATAATACGATTAGAAAATATATTATTATAATAGTTATAATATACAAAATATATTATCTAATCACTAATTAATAATATATTTTGTGATTAGGACCTAAAATTAGTTAAAATACCAAATAATATAATTAATGATATTAATAATCTATTATCATTAATTAATTCAAAGTGATTAATATTTATGCAATTAATAATTGTTAATAATTACCTATACTAATATAGTTATAATAATGTATTAAGATTTATAATATAATATATTTGAAATTAATAAGTTATATTTTGGTTAATATTTAAAATATAACATATTTAATCAAATATAATAGATACTATAGTGTATATTTATTTTATTACTTTTTTTAGCAAACAGAGGTGGAACCACGATAAATTTTATTAATATAAAAAAAAATAAAAGGGGAGATAATCTAGCCTTACCCAAACAAAATTGGGGGGATAAAGAAGCCTAAACTCTTAATCAAACAAAGAAACGCGTGTTACAAGAGGAGAAAGGGAAAACTACCTCAACTTCTATAATTATAGAAACCAAATCTATTATGTCTAAGAGATGACTTAACCTTAACGAGTAAATTAGAAAAACGTAAAACACATTTTTACCTATAAGAAAATGTGCATGAAACACTAACCTATCTGCCATAATATTTTGCTCTCGATACACATGAGAGAGCAAATGTCCCAAAACTAAAGAGGAGCCATGTCTTAGGTGGTATGTATACGCCCAAGGAAAAAGTGAGAGTCCTAAGATAGCTTGAACCATTTGCTTAAAATCAGCCTCCACAAACACGAGTATTAAGTGCAAGTTCTTGACAAAGAAGAAGACCATCACATAAAGCTAGAAGTTTTTCTCTTGTATTAGTATTTGTGCCATAGTTATTTGCAAAGGTTGCCATGACTTGTCCTCTTGAGTTATGGATAACACCCTTACCAGTACGGACACCATCTATAGAAGAACCATCCGTATTAAGTTTATATCGATTCTTCAAAGGTGGCACCCATCGAACCCATTTACCTCTCGTTAAAAGGCACTAATATAATCGACAAACCTAAAGTTTGAAGTTTACGTATAGATGAAACACTAGATAAAGATTTAGGCTTAAGAATAGTACACATATCAAAAAGATGACGGTGTAAGCGATTGAAGATGGCGTCGACGGACAAGAATATCATCGAATCTTGCTTTACACCTATATTTCTATGTCCTAAAGAGAAAAGAAGAAGGTAGCTACTCGGCACATGCCAACTTGTGTTAAGGTGGAGGCCATTCAGCCATGAAATAATTTAGAGATAGATGCATATGTATTCCTTATTCCAAAATAAGATGCTAGCCTAGCCCAAACTATAAAGCTAACTTCTAAATGTAAAACAAGATGATCAATTGACTTCTCTCTAGAAGAAACACAATAGCTACGAATGGAGACCATAGGGATGGTCAAATCCTTTATTCTAGAGTTAACTAGAAGTGCCCCATATAACCATTTCCAGATAAACCCCTCTACCTTAGGAGGAATGCAGGAATGCCAAACTAATTTAGCCCACCAAACTCATGGTCAATGATGTTTACAATGATTCCGAGTAAGTTTTGACTTTAAAACAACCGAGTCTTAGATAGGTTGAAAATCATCTTATCCTCTACTCCCTTGAAGAAAAGACCTTGAAAAAGATTACGAATACCCAAACCACCTTCTAACGAGTGGTTGGCATACCCTATCCCATGATACCCAATGGTGTTTAGACTCTTCGTCAAGCTTCATAAAAACATAGTCATTATCCATTCAAGTCTATAGATAATCATTTTTGGCAATGGGATAACAAAAATACTATGGATTTGAATACTCATAAGCATTGCTTTTAAAAGTGTGATTCGAGCTCCAAAGGATAGGTATTTTGATTTCTATCTTTCAATCTTATTTGTCAATGATTTCTCCAAATACTAAAAATAACTACATTTTATTCAACCATAAAACAAAGGCACCTTGAGATATTTAATAGGGAAAATCAAATGGTTATATCCGATCCATACCTTAAGCAAAGCTATTCGACGGTAAGACACTTTCTTAGGAGTATAAAAACCACTATTGGAAATTTTTAAAAGCGCCCGAAGTTTCCTCATATTACGTATTCAATTGTCAAAGGCGAAGGATCGACTTTTTGGATCCATTCGTGAAAAGCAACATATCATCTACATAAAAAAAAAAAGACTAATGGTTGTGTCTCCACAACCCCCTACCATATAAGGAATGATATGTCCTTCTCTAACAATATGATCTAATGAATATGAGAGAACTTGCTGAACTAGAATAAATAGTAAAGGAGATAAAGGATCTCTTTGTCTAACTCCTCTACTAGATTTGAAAAAATCATAATTCCTCCCTTGAATCCTAATAGTATATCGGACATTACTAATACAACGATAAACCGAGATCACACCATTGGTTACAAAAATCCATTTCCTTAATGGTTCTCATCAAGAAAGACTAATCAACTCTATCAAAAGCTTTAAATATATCTATTTTGAATATAAGGCTATTACCTCGGACTTTTATATTTAAATCTGCTGCTAATTCTTAAGCCACTCGCAATATTTTCGAGTGATACTCCTACCCTTAACAAAACTAGCTTGCTCTAGCAAAATTATATCCGGAAGTACCTTACCTAGTCTATTACCATGATTTTTGATATAATTTTACACCCAAATGATGACAGACTAATAGGTCTTAGGTCATTCATATCATAAGCATTTGGAATTTTAAGGATCAATACTAGTAATATTGTTGTCATACCTTTAGGAATATGATCACTCATAAAAAAATTTGGATTGCCAAAATTACTTCCTTCTTAATCAACATCCAATTACCTATGAAAAAGTGTCTAGTAAAGCCATCTAAACTTGGGCACTTGAAGGATTGAGATCGGTTATTGCTTCCCAAATTTTAGCTTCGGATGAAATATCCATAAGAATAGTATTTTGGCTTACTAAAACTTGTTTGAAATTACCTAGAAATAAAGAATCATATCTATTGGGTCTACCAACCGAGAAAAGAGCTTGGAAAAACTCTACAGCTACAAGTCCTATCACATTTGTATCATTTGTAAGGGTTCCATCGGATTGTCTTAAGCTAAAAGATTTTTTTCTAGCATTATCCTTAATACAAGCATGAAATTAAAAGGTATTACAAACACCATCATGTACCCAATTTGCCCTTGCTTTTTGTTGCAATAATTCTACCTCTTTTCTATTCAATCGAACTAATTCATCTCTTATTTTTTGCAAGTTTATATGGATATTCTCATTCTATTCATACAATAAATTATTTTCAAGGTGAATAAACTTGGCTTGAAGATTCTCCATATTACGATTAATATTACAAAAAATCTACCGAGTTTCATTGTTTTAATCTACGACCTAGAGTTTTTAACATAGAATGAAGAATATCCATAGGAGCTCTCGAAGAAGGAGACTCCCAAATTCCTTTAACAAAAACCTCATACTCCTTATGTTCCATCCACATATGTTGGAACTTAAACGGGGAATGGGACTCGTTTAGTGGAAAAAAATGGATCAACAAAGGAGTGTGATTTGAATGAATCCTAGCCGGATGTTGTACCGTAATGGACGGGAGGGAAGACACAAAATGACCATTGATCAAGAATTTATCAATTCTCTTCCAAATTACGGCTAGACTAGGCCGATTATTGCACCATGTACACCGCTACCTATATAACCGAGCATCATCCACCATAATATTATTGCAATAATCCATCAAGTCTCTCATTGCTTGGAAATCATAGCTCGCACCGCCAACTTTTTTGACACATCTACCATGATTTTAAAATCCCATCCACTAACCAAGGAAGTCGGTAAATGCTAGATAAGCGATTAAGGTCGATCTACGACCTAACTCTCTCTATCCAAGAACATTTGACAAATACAAATGAACATAAAATTGGAGTCCAACCCTAAATTTTTATTTGAACTATGATTAATTGATCCGCAACATCTATAGTGCTCATAGAAATATCAAAGGCCTAAAAAAGCCAAATATGAAAATTAACGGGATTAAAGTGCATATGATGCATGAAATGTATTTTTTTTTTTGCAACCTCAATTTTTTCTCCATGTAATTTATTTCTAAAATTACTAACATTGGACGATGTTCTCATTTTAAATGATTTAAATAATCTATGGTGGCTTTATTTCCCACCCTCTAACGTTCCAAATAATGACCGACATAAAAATTAGGGATAGGCGTACCTTGTGCACATATAGTTGCGTGTGTCTTTCTCTTGAACTCTAAGTTTTGAGGTCTTGATTTTCAAGCTAGCTTTTTGAATGCTTTATGATTTTTGTTTACCTAATAAGTGTCCACCTGCACAAAAGTAAACCTATCAGCTGATTGAGGGCAGGAAGGACTAGTGGGTTGTTCTCCAGCTTGAGCACTATCCGATAATGATCCAACCGACACGTTGCTCTTCTTGGGTCAAACCATTGTCCTCTGAACCCTCTAGTATAGAGAAATAGCTAGACCCTGCATCTGTATTGACTCCACCTATAATGTTAATCCCATTATCCATGTTTCCCACATTTGGATTTACTGTCAAGATACCTTCCTCAAGCTGACTACCTCTTGTGAACTGCTCATTATTATTCTGCCCAAGTTTACCGTGTGCGTGCAGCTCACCAGAATGAACTTCCACGAGCAGTTCTAGGTCTAGGACAGTATGCTGGGCCTGTGATATAGAATTAACTCTGTTGCTTTCTCCTTTCACCATCTGATTCTCAGCAAAAACTGTGATATTCGTTGCTTCGGTTCCTAGACTTGTACTAATATTTTGTCTTAATATAGGAGAGGTAGCTACTATAGTCTGCATGTTATTTTTATGTCAGCTACAGTAGCATGCATTTGAATAATGTTACCTAATGTCTCTATATGAACTCAGTTTTGAACCACCATATAATTTATATTCTTTCAAGTAGAAGTTCCTAAGGATACTGGCTGTTCTCCCTGAATTTATTGCCCCTGACCAGTGCCTGTAATACCTGATATAGCCTTTGGATCACAAAATTTCTCCCCCATAGACTCTGTATGCCCAAAACTAATCTGCTGTCCTCTTGATGGTTTTGTCTAGGTCTGACGCAACACACCATCCTTCTCCCTGTGTACTACTCCATTAGATCCCTGTTCTCTATTTCGAGACTTATGCTTATGGATGGGAATCCACTCCTCTTTCCCTTTCCCTTTATCTACTTTGTTTGGAAGAGTTTGTTGCTGCAAGCTATAATTAGGAAGACGAACTAGAGCTAGACATTAAACAACCTTGCGGTAATCTTCTAAACGATGTCCTATCAATCCACACCCTGAACAGTATTCAAGGCTACCCTCATATTCTACCTTCTTCCATAAACCATTTTCCTTTGAGCTACAAATCCAAATGCGAATGGGGAGTTGCTTGGGGATATCAATCTCAATACATATATGGGCTACCATTGGATGGGTAAGAGCATAAGTTTTTGCATCTGCTTTAAGGTAGCAGCCTAGGCATTCCCCTATTCTCTTCAAGTATGATGGCATAAAGAAAATGAGGGGAGATGCGGAAGTCGAACCCAAGCTACAACCTTAGTGTTGTCCTTCCGAAACACAAACTCAGGACTCCATCAAAAAACTCTATACATTGAATTATGAATTTTATGATCTTCTTTTGATAGTGTTGTAATTGTATCAGCTTTGGTGTATAGAAGTACCATCACATGTCTTGGGTCTAGCAAACCTATAACAGGATCCATGTGCAGTTGCTAGTAGTCTTTTATATGTTTCCTAATATCAACCAAATTAGGATATCCTCCCAAAAATTTTAAAACTAATGAATTAAAGAATTGGGCAGCAGCCTTGTCAAGCTCTAAAGGTGAAAAAAAAAAACAACAGGCTCTTCATTGATGAAGGAAAGTTGCCTTGTTGTAAGTGGAATGTCCTTAATAGGTGGCTCTCTTGTTTTCTCAGATTGAGATGTGGTACAGTCTTAGAATAATGAAGCAAAGTTAATTTGGGATTGCTTAGCCTCCACGGATCTCTGTTCTTGAGATGCGAGTGGTGGAAAATCAAATCTTGTATTTCATTTTGCTGGATTACCAGCTTCCTTATTTCTACTAGGAACCTGTGTTGGAGCAAGCGATGATACAGATGCAGGAACTCCCTTATGTCGGCGCTGCTGTCTAGATTTGCTAGTTTCTTCATGGTTAGTCCGTTGCTGTCCAGACTTATTCATGCTGTTTTGCAATGGAGGAAATCCATCTTGAAGAGGGAGATTTGATTCACTTAGCCGTGCTGTGTTCTGTGGAGGAGGATAAGCAATTTCTAATATTTTATTACTATTTTAACATAAATACCAATTATATTTGATAATTATATGATAATAATAAAAATATTAAGATACATTGATAAATTTAAAAATAATTATTAATAGAAATAATTATTTTGATAGAAATATATTAAAAATAATTATTTTGATACATTGATAAATTATAGAATAATCAATAATTTTTAATATTTGTCCAAATTATTTGGTCATTAATATAATTGTTCAATAATTATATTATCCTTAGCTATAATGATAAAATGATCAACTAGATATATTATTTAGTAATTACTCAAATTTCAAAATATTTATTTTATTTATCAAATTTATCATATCCAATAAATTTAGCCAGTATATTTAATTAAATTGATAAAATAACTATTATAAATATGTTGTTGACTAAAATTATGATTTAATATTATTACGTATAAGAATATACTAATGATAATATTTAATATTGATATTGTAATTATATAATTAATATAATATGTTAAATAGTAATTTTATATGATAATCATTTAATCATAAACTTAACTATAATTAATATAGTGAACAATTATTTATTGTATATAATTTATATTTTAAAATCATAATAATCATAATTTATGATGATAGTTATCCGATATTATAATAGTTTGATACTATTAATTATATTATAATATCTTTGTAATATTATTAACATTATAATATAGTATTATATTATATGTTAATAATCATATATATATATATATATATATATATATATATATATATATATATATATATATATATTTTAATAATTAGTTATATTATCAATATACCAAAGATTTGAATAAATATATTATCATTAGTAATTTAAGTTGTATTATAATAAAATATGGATTATGTCAATAATTTTTCAATTTATATTTATAATTAGTATTTATAAACAACCCAATTTTTCAATAACATTAAGACATTAGTAATCAATTGTTAAAAGTATATATTTATAATAGTATTATTAATATGTTACAATATAATAACAATGATGATTACTGTATCATATGATTAATAGTAATTACTTATAAATCATGTATTTTATTATAATTGAATACATTACAAAAACAAATAACAAATTTGAATAATAATAGTATTACAATTTAACAATACTAAAAAGAATATTTAAAAATAATCATAATATTGATAAGAGTTAGTAAGATTTTATGATAACATAGATTAATATTATAAATATTATAATATTATGATTGATAATCTAATTGTCTCGTTAATATGGTTATTTACGATTAAAAATATAATATTTAGGTTTATAAATAACTAACAATATAATATTTATATTAAATAAAATAGTTCAATATTATTTAATTTATAATATTTTTATAATAAATATGTTTATAAGATATTAGCTAATGATAATATATTTATTGATATATAACTATAATTGGATATTTATTCATAATATGATAATACTATTAGCTATTTAACGATTATACATTATCTAATATAGCTAAATAAAATTATTACCATAATAGATGATAATATTTTATACTATTAAATCACATATTAGGTACAATAATAATTTAAAATAATAATTATCATACAATATTCATAATATACAATATATTATATGGTTGATTGTAGTATACCAAATGAATTGAATAATATAGTTCAATATAATGATATTGTTTGTTAATAATATTTTATAATTATTGAATTATATTGATTAATGATATTCAAATAATACCTATATTTAAAATAAATATTTAATAATATTATCAAATAATGATCGTAAAATAATATTAATAATATCTTATCATAAATATTGTATGTAGATATTACAAATAAAATATATTCTTTATAACTTTATTTGATTAATTTTCAAAAATAAAATTATCTATGAAATAATAATAATCAATATTATAATCCAATAATTAATTTGAGATCATAAATAATATATAATTAAGAAATAGTTAATTTAAATTGAAATATTAATTGTATTATCAATATTGTCTAATATTAAATATATTATATTAACATATATATATATATAGTATTTTATTTGTTATAAAATAGTATTTTATGATAATTTGAATATATTTAAACTATTATAAATATATATTTTTAGCTAAAATATTATTGAACTTATTGATATTATATGATGTAAAATTAAGCTAAAATATTAGTTTAAAACATATTAACTATTATTAAATATTATATTTGGTATATTTATGACCTATTAAGATATTTTTATGTTAAAATATTATTTTATTATTAATTAATATAAGATTATTTAATTTATCTTTGATATTCAATAAAATATGATTATATTCGTATATTGATATAGGATAATACTATTATTATTTTAGCTTTATATATTTGGTTAAAACATAACTCAATATTATTTGACTAGGTATTAATAAGAATACGAAATAATATAATATTTTGGTCAAATAGTTAACAATTCCATATTTCAATATATTTATAATCAATATTATCAAAATAATAACTATTTTTAATATGAATATATTTTCAATTTGTTATTATCTTCTATTAATAATAATACAATAGTTTGATACTATATTTATAAATATAATTATTATACAATATTATCAATATTGTACTTAAAATACTTTTTTTAATCATAAATTTCTATAATTTTATAACTTAATTTTAATAATAATTAGTTAGCAAAATAATTATATTTAATAATAAATGTAGCTAATTTAAATATAATTATTTTATAAATATGGCTATTAATATTGGTAACTAATTATATATAATTTATACTATAAAAATATTGATATCTTAACAATACTAATAATATAGAATAAGAATAATATATAGAATAATATATTTCAATAATACCATATTATCAATTATTATTGAGATTATTTTATTTGATTGATTATAAATTTTTGATATTTATTTAATAAATAGGTATTTAAAATATAGATAATATATTTCAATAATTACTTTGATTATTAAACAAAAATATTAATCAATAATATTTTAATATATTCTCATTAATATCATTTATTTATTATAGTTATATAATCATATTTCAACTAATACGAGAGATGGTAACTAATTATAATATTATTATATCGGATAAAATACTGCCATTATCATGATTTAAAATCACAATAGGTAAAGTTAATCATAATGATAATTGTAATAAATATTTGATAATAATTAATATTTAATATTTAAATCATACAATATTATTTTGGTAATTATGATATGAGAATAAATATTGATTATTATTTTAATAGAATCCAGATAAATATCTTTAGTGTACTATATTTTAATAAATTATATTATAAATTATATTATTTTGATAATTTAGATATCATTAATATAGAAAACCATAATCAATATTATAATGATAATATATTTTATGGTCAATAGTAAATGCTATATTTAATTCCATTTATTCTGATATA